GATCACACAAAAAATGAGAAAGAACCCAGTAGAAGTCATTATAAACATCAAGTCCTTACCTGTCACTACCAGCTGCATGGTGAGGTTCTTATACAGGCCATATTTTGCATTGCTTAAGACGATGGTGTAGTTTCCAGCATGCTTTGGTCTCACATCTCTTATGCCCAGTCTGTACTTCATCGGATCCGGCTCATAGCAAGTGTGGTTTTCCTTGATCGGTTTGCCGTCCTTGTACCTGTTTTGAAAGTCCCATCAAAGCTCATCATGTGCATGCATGCATGTTGGCCCTCAGAAAACCTGTTACCCAAATTAGGGTGGGTAAAGAACCGTCCTTCCGAAACAGCAAGGGAAATACAGATCTATAATCACTGCTTGAAGTGGACATCTATTCCTTCTGTCCTTCCACATGAAAACTGAGTAGCGCCTGCACTGCTGTGGGATGGCTTCATCCGACAAACAGGAAAGAGATATTTTAATGGATCTGAATGAGCAGTGCCTCTCCCCTGCTCAGCTGTGATCAGAAATGTACATCTAGATGACCCCTTATTATGCTGGATGTGCAACACTAAGTGCAGGAAATCATGGGTTAGCCAAAATTTATGATGTCATCAGTTTTAAAACAAGATAGTCATTAAGCAGAATTGTCTTTCAATATGTATATATGACCCTTTACTGTTTGTGAAAAAGCTAAAGTCTGTGACCTGGTGAATCTACAGTCAATAGGAAGGTCAGTGAGGAATTCACAGTCTTGAATCTTCATTAGCCAAGAACAGGATAGCAAAGTCTGCATGAGCAGACTCCTCGTCACTGCTAACCCAATATGCAGATTTGGGTTATAAATATGAAACAGGCCAGACTTTGCCACACACAGAGCTTTAGGCTTGGTGGAAGGAGAAGCTGGGGCATGTGTCCTACTGCCTGAGAATGCTGGAAACCTCCTTGACAGTCATTTAAACAACTGTACTGAGAGACCTCCAACATCAACAGCTGTAGCTTCGAACACACAGGGAAGGCAGCTCTGGTGGTCCCAGGCAGCTACCAAGCAGCTCCACGCTGAGCCCCGAGAACAAAGCCTTGGCAGAGAAAAGGGGGACGGTCCCCACTTCAACTCACAAAAACATTTCCATCTCCTAAATAACAGCAACAATTAAAAATATCTCCTGGCAGCACTGATGTCACTGGTCTGAGTGAATATTACCGAACTTCATGTTATTTCAATGCTAAATAAAAATGCAGCAAACCCATGTGATTAAAAAAAACCCCCTGACCGATACCTTTTGCTGCCTGCCAGCCCCCCTGCGTGGCACTCAGCTGGCCAAAGAAAAGGGCATCGGGCAGGTGCCGACTCAGCCAAGCCACCTTCTCTGCCAGCACAGGCAAACCCGTGCCAGCCGTCGTACGGGGTTTCCTACGGTTCCAGATGCATAAGGTGTTGGATGGGGCTGTTAAAGACCCCCTGTAGAACGAGGCATAGCAAAAGTAGCAAGAGAGAGGACAAGCAATGAAAAGGAGAGAATTGAGTGAAATGAGGTAAAAAATGAATGACTCCTGGAGTTGCTGACATGTTGCCCCTCCTCTTAAGCTGATCCATTAGAGTCCTGGTGGAGCCTTTAGTTTGCTCAGGAGGATTCACTGCTTTGCCTGCAAGGATCTGACATTGCTGGTGGTACAGGATTGGAGAAAATTATTTAAAAATTATGAAGAGAAACAATTTCTCATGTTGAGAATGTGTCCTGCAGTTTTCTGTTGTGCACTGCCTCTTTGCAGACTGACCACCCCTAATGCTGGTAAACTGGCAGCCCTTCCCCAGTAGCTTTCTACTTGAATCTTCCAAAAAGTTCTGTGTCCAGCGTAAATGAAACCCCCATTTTTCCTGCAGGGCCCTTTTCTGCATGACTAGGAGAGAAAAATAGCATGGGAAAGAAGTATGACTTGCCCAGCTTCACAGAGCATATGTCAGCACAGAAAGGAGTCACATCTTAGCTGAACCACAGCTGTTGGTATTCCCAGCTCTCATCTTTTATCTGTGCCGTAAAGTGAAAATCTATTCTAGATGAGTGCAAAAGAAGGTTGCGTATTCCTGATTTTGCTCAAGATGTTGGTACTCACCAGGTGACGCTTGGACGAGGAAAGGCGTCCACCTTTGCAGCTAGTTTCAGTGACTTGTGTCCTGCTGTAATCTCGTAGTAAGGCCCTTTCTTATGTGAAACCGTGATGAAAGGTTTGTCTGGAAAGAGAAATGAGCAGGAGGAGAAGTAATGGCAGACCTGCCGCAGTACAGTGCCGCATCTTTGAATTGCGTTGTGTCTACCCTGGATTTTTTGCAATAGAGGTCTGCAGAAGCTGCAGACAACCAAATGGGATGACAAGCTGTTACCGCAGCTCCCCTGCAAAGCTCAGCCGCAGCCAGTAAGGTCTATCTCCAAATGAAGGACTTTATATTTAAAGCAGAGAACATGCATCTGCATTGCCCCTGCGGCAGCATGTAAAATTGCCTGGGGTATCTCTTGTCAGGCCAGATTTTCCAGGGCATCAGCAACCATACTTGGTTCCAGCTTTGTCAAAACAGTTCTGCTCCCAGTTAATCCATGTCCTCAGACATGTCTCAGTCTTGAACTCTCTTAAGTTTCTTTGAAAACAGTGCTGAGTGCTGACTCATTCATAGATCGATTAGAGATTATAGATGATTAATGGTTGGTTTAACTACTTGGCATTCTTTCCAATGCCATTTGTGTATCAACAGATTTAATAATGTGGCATTATCCTTTAAGCTTAACAATCTTAGTTCTTGGGTATCCTGGTTTACCTGCAGAACTTACCATACACTGTCACTGTGACATTGGCCTCCAGCCTTGTTACGTTGAATGTTTTACATACGTACAGGCCTCCGTCTTGCATGGTGACATTTTCAATTGTCAGGCTACTGCCAACTTTATACACCATGCCACTCTGGTCTATTGTTCTTCTAGGATAAGGGTGCTGGAAATCAGAAAATTTTACATGTATGTTAGGAACCTAAGGAGGGTTCATAGAAAAACAACTCTCTTCCATCGTATGGAGTTCAAGAAACAAAATTCAGTAACACTATATTGCTTGTACTTCCATAAATTCTCTGTTACATTTTCTGTAGTTTCTTCTACCAAAACAAAATCAGGCAGTCTTTCTTTAAGTAAACAATATAAATCAAGAAATAATCAATTATCAGGAACCAGATTTTACACTTTTCCAAGAGGCTTATATGCTTCTTTGAAATGTTTATTTTGCTTAACTAAAAAGAAAAAAAAAAAGCAATCATTTTAATTCCAAGCATCAAATAGAACCATGAGTACTATCTCAGATAAATGAACTGATTTCGAAAAGCCCCCTTCTTCCTCCTGTTTTTCCTTAGGAGAACTGAAAGGTTTTAGTACCTCAAAGCGAATGCTCAGTCTCTTACATGTTTCTACTTCAAATTTGGCATTTTTGTATTGCATTCCACAGAAAGCTCAAGAACCTACACTCAGAATTTACATTTCCTTCTTCGATGGACATTTCAGCAGATACAATTGGCTTTTGTTTCCCTTTTTCCTACTTAATACATGCCAAGACGGATGAGCAGATTGACAGCTCGCAACCTTCATGGCTGCCTTTGAGACTTGCCACTGTGAGCCGGGATGAACAAACAGACCAGAAGAAATGTGACAGCTATTCTTCCCAACAAGAGATGTACGCTCCTGGCTTTTCTTGCAAGCGTATATTTAGCCGGAGATTTGCAGTTTAATTTGCAGGTTCAAGATGGTCAGATAAGTTTTAGGTTCATCCAAACTAAAAATACAATCAATTGTAGGCTTACAAATGGTTGGCTGTATTTCAGAATAAGTAGTAGTTAGGGTTTACTCAGCCCTGTGAACAGATCTTTCTTTTGGGTAGGGGAAATGTGCCTGAGAGCAGAATACTGAATTTTCATCAACTCACTCTCCCATTAGGACACGCCCAGATGAGCTCAATGCGCCCGTTGATGAAGGTTTCTGCTCTGCATTCCAAATAGAGAGTTTCTCCAACTAGCAGTCTTTTGGGAGTTGCTTTCAGAACCAGGTTCTGTACTCTGCCCTCTGAAATGAAAAAAGCAAAGGTGTAACCACACGGCACTCTCTACACCAATGACATTTAAGAAGGAATCCGCGCTCCGATTGCCCCTCCAACATCTGTTCCTTTCACAGTTTCCAAAACACCTCACCTTCTTCTGGCATTTCTATGGAAATTGGTGGAAATGCCCCCACAATGGAAACATTACATCAGTTGTATAGATGCCTGAACATCCGCTGGTCAAACTAACTCATCACACGTGGACACAGTCCTTTATGAATTACTTTTCTTGCATTTGCCATGTTTGGCTCCAACCCTCACTCATCAGCTCCACAGCCATTCTCAGAAAAAGTTTTCAAAAGTGACTCGCCCTTTTGAGCGCTTCAACATTTCCATATCTGAGAGAGGATTCATTTCTGTAAAACACGAAACATGTTTCTCCTGCCCTCTGATGACCACCTGCCTTTCCTTTCTGAATGGGATCCCCAAATCTTCGTCTTATATATTTATTGATGCCTTACATACATCAACTCTGAAATAAGCCTGCGTCGTGTTTTTGGTGCCCCATACCAAACACACCACTGTACAGTAACACTTTATAGAGTAAGGTATTGCCCACGTCCTTTTGGGCTAGAGAGGGATGACCTAATGGGTCTTTAGCTTTGCTCCAACAATGAAGGAAAAGAGAGAGAGATTTACAGGACTTTTATTTGGCTGCCATACAGATTTACAAGCCTGTTGTTTAAAGCTGAGTGCTAATTGTATAGAAGGATGCCATGATCTAATGGGAATGAAGTCACAATAAACTCTCCTCTGTCAAAAATATAATATATGAAAAGAGAAAGAACATACATTGAAAACAAAGGAAAAGTAAATTCTAATTGGCTTCATATAAATCCCCAGCACTCAAAAATGTAATGTTTAGTTGCTTCAAATTCAGATCTTAATTCTGAGCTGAAGCTCGACTGTAAATACAAGCGAAAGGGTATAGTAAATCACCAAGAGAAACTATATAAAAAAGCAAAGATTTGAATTAGCAATTTAATGAGATTTTTATACCATGATCTTGTGTGTTTAATGACCGGAAGCAAAAAGAAAGCTACTGTTTGGTTTTGCCTAAATCAGCAGTTGTTTTAATGTAAATATAGTTCAGTCCAAGCAAACAAAGCCTTGGTGGGGGTTGAATAAAATACTCCTACTTTGTACCACCTCAACGCTTGGTAATTTTTCAAAACCAGGAGTGGATCAAATCCAAGTTCTACTGAATAGGAAAAGAAGGGAAAGAATGAGTTTGCTTTTAGTGTTCCAGCTTGGACTTGCTACAGATACATACCAGTGAGATATATCAAATATAATTGAGGCTAACCAAGAAATAATACCCAGGAGCTTCGCTATGAAATAGAAACATTGCGGTCATTCCTTGGCACACAGTAGGCACTCACCCAATCTCTGTGCCAGGTAATAGGAGGTGAACACGTTTCCACTGACATTTGCAGTGCATGTGAGTACTCCAGAGTAAACGAAAGAATGAGAGGGGATGACAAATCCTCTTCTTGGGTCCCACACCATCCTCTTGAGGTTCATGTCTACAGAATGAGGATACTGCAAGAGAGCAGACAGATGGGAGGCTTGTGAGACATTCCAGTTCCCCGCAGACCATAGAGGCAACCAGCCAAGGCTGTTCTGCTTTAGAGGCAGGGTAGATATTTGACTTTTCAGAGTGGTTGGTGGTCTCATTCCACACATATCTTAAGCAACATCAACATAAGCAAATAGAGAAGCCCTCCCTAAGGTATGACTGTCTTTGAAATCCAAAACTTGGACATCATAATTGTGGCTTTTGATTCAGTAGCCCCAGTCCTCTCAGATCTTAGGCAAGATACCATGCTACTCATTGCGGGTCCCATTTCCCTCATCTCTTTACTGGAAATGATTATGCCTATCTTGTATGAATTTTGTAGGGTAATATTTTTGGAAGTGTTTAAGAACAAAATTTGCTTCTCCTAATGCTACACGTAGCTACCACATGTTTTTCTGTGAATTCACAGTACTTGAAAAGTATGCGTGAAGTTAGACCCAAAAAAATCAGAATTATTCATGTCACTAACTCACCTGCTGGCAGTCACCTACAAGCTATGGTCTATGGCTAGTCATCAGATTCTCTCTATATCACAGAAAGGGATGAGACACTTTCAAAGCAGCCTATGGATTCCCAGTAGGCACTGAAGCAGTATGGATGACTTAAGATGCTAAATCATAGGATGGCAGAAATAAGGGACTTAGTAACATAGGCATTTTTGGTCCTGAATTCATAAACACTCGTAATGTTCTGAGATTCTTAAAAACCAGTATCTGTAAGTTCTGCTTATGAAGAAGAAGTGAGGATACAAAAGGCAAATGTGGAAAACAAACTAGAGCAAAAATTAATTTAATAAGAATGAACCCTCCGTATACCCTTGGACAGCACTGACATCAAGCAGGTTAGCTTTTGTCGGTGGGAATAATTAGTTTACTATTATTATTAACACACAGGGAAATTGTCTATTTGCTAAAGAAAATGCAATTTACTTTCCAATCATTTTGAGAATCCTGGATTATAATGTAGAAAAGAAATAAGTGAAATTAAATGCAGACAAATAACTCAGGAGTCTGTAAAAGAGCAGAAGACTGAAGTTCACCCATTTTTGCAGGCAGGTGAATGGAAGCACAGGCTGTAGGTCCGACTTTTCCAGCAGGACTCAGGAAGCCTCTTTAGGACTGAGGGTGTGCTGCAGGAGCACTGAGATCACCTTTGGCTGAACAATGAAGGGTTTGGGGAAACCTCAGTGTGCCTACAGTTGCATGATAACTAACTTTATTTGCACAGTGCGTCTCCTTCCTTCTTATCACATGCTGGCTTCTCAAAGATGAGGCAAGTTAATGTTTTCCTTTTCAGAACTACCTTGATTTAACTTTTGGAGCTAACCAAGGGAAGAGCTGCACTAGGAACCGCAAGCAGGAATTTCCCCAATGACGTCATAGTTTTGCTCTTATTCTTGTTATGCAGCATGCAATTTCTGTTTCTGTCTCTAAACAAACAGTAGTATTGTATGGCAGCATGGTTTAAATAGGATTCAGTTTAAATAATACTCCTGTTCCGAAGAAATTTCAGCCCCAGGCTTTTGAGAGCTGATGCTCATACCTCTCGTATGAATACACAATTGATCAGGTTGGCATTGTTTTAGGTCGCTTGTTATTACATATTCAGCACAGATCAAAGACAAAGGAATTATGACTGTGGGGCAGTGACTGGTGATGTTGCTGTGGGGAAGCAGCCGCAGCCAGAAGTTGCTTTCTTTTGGAACAGCAGTTCTCTTCCGACAGTAGTAGGAAACATGGCTTTCACGTAAATACTTTCCAAGTAATCAAGCTGTGGCATCTCTGTTCAGAACCGTTAGGAAAATTCAGGAAAATTACAGAAAGAGATCTGAGACCTGAGGCTTAATCACGCTTTAACACCCATGAAGGTCAAAGCTGTAAGCGGCAAACGCGCACTGAACCAGATCAGTGGCTAAACAGATCTGACAAGCCTGAAAATGCTTGTTTTGCCCAGAATGAAAATGTTCAGCAAAATTAAAAGTTTGAATTGTGTGTCTTAGCATGGGTTTATTAATAACAAAGATGATATGTAGAGTTAGCTGGGATCTGTTTAATATTAGCAAGAGGTACCTTTCCCCATACATATTTAAAGGCCAGAGTGTGCAATGATTTTAAAGTATAATGGTAACATAAGGAACTTAATTTATGGTGCAAAAAAGTACATTTTCTACAAGAATAATAAAATGTGATAAAGCTGAGCTTCAAGGTTTGGCAGCTCTGCTCCCTGATGGCTAGGGGAAGGGGAAAGAAAAAATAACCCTACTGAGGAGGCCCTTTTCAACACTACACACATATTAAACATCTTCATAAAATATTCAAAAATATATATTTAAACAATCAAACAAAAAGCGTCAATGCTGCTTGAAGGAAATCACAGTGGCTTTCCTCCCTTTGAAGTTTGTTGTCTATTGGAGATTAAATTTGGAAGAAGAGGATGTTCTAAATTTGTCTGATCGCCTTATTCACCTCTCCTCCCCCATCCTTACCTCCACCCCTCTCCCACCCCACTTCCTCTTCGCACGGGAAGCCGCCACCTTGGCTCCACACGGCGCTATGAAATTCCCAGACAGGGCAAAACAAGCGGTGACTTTCCGTAGATGGAGCCCGGGGCTGGCGGCTCCCAAAGCCAACACACGCCTTGAGTAGCTCACAGCATCAGGAGGGTCCTTTGGGGAGCGGCATTCAACCTCTACGTCCCTGCCCTGCAGTCCAGCTGCTCTCCCTTGAAGGGGAAAAATCTTTTGGGGACAATTTTCTTTGCAATTCAAAAGGGAGGTTTCAGTGGAGATTTCATTCCGGCAGCAGCTTGCAGCAAGGTAAAGGACTTGAGTTTGTGTTTGAAGAAATTACCGGGAGAGAATTTAGCTGGCAAGCAGGGAGAGCAGGGCTGCCTATAAGTAAGGGGATAAATGTGGAGGTCTGCTGGGTTCCAAGGCCACATTTAGGCTCATGTGATCATGCTGAAGTCAGCAGCAGAACTCCAGCAATGAATTCGGTTGAAGTAGGCTAAAATAAGATGGGGATGTTTCATTTTTATAGCCAAGAAGGAGAAGATGATAACACTTATCTAGGCTAAAGCGACTAGCTATCACTTGAGAGGAGCCTTATTCCCCCCCTTTTAATCCCTACTGACGAAACTTAAAAATAGAGATCTGCTAAAGCAATAAGGCCAGTGCTGTCCCTCTGCACGTCTGCTGGAAATTTGCCATTGGTCTCAGCAGGAGCCCGAGCACTGTCTCAGGCCTCTGTGATTTCACGTGCTGTCTCCAAGGAGAAGGAGACATCCAACAACGAAGACATCCAACAGCTAAGAGGAGCAGAGGTCCTCAGACCCCTCCACCAGCACAGCATCAGCCTATCTGCGTGTGCTCCGCTATCGCAGCATTCCCAGCAGAACAACCTCATCTCTCCCAGCCCCTCCAGAGCAGGCTGTGGAACAGGGGCAGAGGATGAGCTCCTGCTCCCGGCAGGACAGCTCAAGCAGCCTGCCTCGCAGGGGAACGGAAAGGCACACAACCCATTAGGTAAAAGGCAGGATTGGAGCCAGGAGAACTATGTTCCTCACTCCGTGATAGGCTTCTCTACAGAGCAATTCTAAAGCCCTTTAAATGAGTGACTAGATCTCCATCCACTGAGGAAGCCCCAGACCTTACATTTCCATTTTTATGACACCAAATGGCCTTGGCCTCCACAGACCATTCTGTAACCTTGACATTCAGATGTAACTGCTGCCAAAGGGATGGATGCTGTAGCCATTTATTTCCAAGGCTGAAACTTGGTTTGAAATCAAGCAAAAATGGGCAACTGTTCTGAGGAGGTTCAAGGTGTATAAGAGAGCTTTCATGACGATAGCTAATAGCTAGGTGTTATACAAAGAATTTTGACAAAAATAGTGCCTCATCATCTATCTTTGCCAATTTATGGAGGAACATCAGCCACAAGATGAGAAAAATATGTGATAAACACAGCCTAATCCCTGAACACCCTTGTACACAGTTCAGTAGTAATAAACTGCAAGAGCAGGACTGTGCTTCTGGATTTTCAGCGTCTTTGCTATTTTTTTTCTGAAACTTACCTAGCTTCATAGATTTTATTTTGTATTTTTACCCATTCTGTTGGCAGCCCAGACCTATGAATTGTTTGAGTTTCTCTGAAACAGCATCTTACCTTGGAAAGCTTGGGTTTGATATCTGGCGAGGTAACTCGGCAAGGGACAACCACTGTTTTCTTAGCATCTAAAATGTAGATTATTTCGGGATGTTCCGGGTGAAGCTCCACAAACGGATTTCTGTAGTCTGCAGGGAAAAGAACACTGATTTGCAAAACTGCTCCTTTACTGATCAATGAGCAGAAGGGCACTGTAATCTGAGCGGCTAACTGCCCGCAGAAGGCTCACTGTAGCGTGAGACAAAGACATCCAGTCACATCTTGCTTGTTTGCAAATGCCAGTGTTATCTAGGGATTACAGTCAACGACCAACAATCAGAATACCCCATTTCTAACCCTTTTTTGCAGTGTAATCTTGTTAAAAAACTCATTTTCTTATCCATTCTCCATCTGTAAAAATGCAGTTAATAAATCAGCTCCACAGGTCTTCATGGTCCTTGAGTTAGTTCTTTCCTCAGTGCTCTGAATTTCTTTCATAGGTGATATTATACCTATTCCACAGCAGTTAAGTGTTACAATAGGTTTACACCGGTTAAGGTAAATCTACTGAAAGAGAAAAGCTTCTTTCTGTAAATGAGAATCTCTAGAATACTGCAGAAAGTATGCAAAAAGGGAAGGTAGACCCATGATATCCAAAGCCAGGCAAAAAGAATCTATTTAATCTAACAGTGAAGTACCTTGGTCATGCTCTTGGGGAACTGTGGGGTTTTCTACAGATCTGCCACAGTAAATCAGACTGGATATAGATATACAATAGAAATAAATAAAAATCTGAGGTAGTTTAAGGTAATAAAGCTTCTGAGTCTCAGTCACTGATTTTTCATTGTATGAATACAGTGATGGTCATCACAAAATTAAAATACTGCTTGTGGAATCCTAAAAGCTTCAAGATTTTTCTAAAAAGCATTCTTAGACTTGATATTCTTATAGCATAGAGTTTCAAGTACCATTCAGCTAATGCAATACCAACCACACCACACCGCGTGGGCAATCAGCCCCTTTGGGTTTGGATTCTACTGTTGACAGGACAGGATGTGCACCCTGTACAATAACCTCAACCTGCTTATCCTTGGCTTGGGACCTGCCTCCACACACTTAATTATATTTTGGAAACGGCTTCACCTAAAGCATGGGAAATAGCTGACATGAAAGGTTTGTGAACAATCTAGGTTACAAAAATGTGCTCTAAAGTATCCTGACAGTACTTTTAAAAAGGATGTGCTATGAGGAAATTAAAATCAGTTTTCAAAAGAATGCTTAACTACTCCCAAATGGGCTAAGCTGGTAATGAATGCAGTCAACCAGGACTGCCACGTCCATCGCTACGGACTAGTAGGAGGCCTTCAACAATGGCAAACACTTTAAGGCTTTGGAAAAGGGAAGCACCTACAGTGTAGGTGACCTGTTCTCTGATGTAGTATAATGAGAAGAAGTGTCCTTCTTGATGAAGATCATTAATATACTTCCTGAACTACCCTCATATCCCCATATCATGTTTCCTCTCTAATTCCTGGTGTACTATTAAGGGATTTTCAATGGAGAAAAAAAATCAATTCCTTCTTGCTCAGTGGATGTAGCCCACAGTTCATCCAGAAATTGCCCAGAAGGCCATGTCTCTGTGCAAACACATGAAAGAGTCCACAAACTACCAGATCAAGACGACAATGCTACTTGTAGATCTTGGGGAGCCCTCCTGCTCTCCACAGCCAAGAGGCTGGTGGTGGAGCCAGGCGAGGAGCAGCTGCTTCAGGTGGGATGTGCTGGGCCATTCCCCGGCGGGGCAAAACCCTGTTGCAGCCGCACGGTGTGAGAGTAGCTCCAGTAAAAGCTGCGTATACCCTCCTCTGTGATCAGACACCTCTCAAACACAAAAGTCAAAGCCACGGGCTGCGTTGAAGAGCCTGAACGGTGTGATCGTCTTGGTTTAGCACCAAAATGTCAGGCCAGCTGGCCCCAATCCTTTCACCTAAATGGATGCTCTCATTTTACATCTAAGGCTGTTGTGGCAGCTGTTCTATGATTGAAGAAAGCCCCAGTTGCAGTGTGTTGGAGAAACGCTATCTATTCATCCCGTTAATCCTTGCATTACTGTATCAGGCCGCTCTCCCTCTTTCATCTATTCGTAAAACTGAGAGTGTTCTAAAATCTCCATGAGAAGATGGCAAAATATTTCTCTTAACTTTTTTAGCTAGTGAGGAAAAAATCCCTGTACATGGAGTTTTAAAAATTCCAAGTATCCCTTTCTGGGTATTGGCCATTTTGGCTACTCTCGACAAAGAGTCTAAAATTGTGAAACCCTCCAGAATTTCTCCTTGCCCAGTGCCCCATCCCTGGCAAACAGTCTTTGGCTTCAAATCAGTGGGGATCCATTTTTCAACTTAAAACCAATGATGTTCACCCTTTGGACCCTAGCAGGGAGCTGTGTATTCCATACTGGAGGATCTGTAACTAAGGAGTAGGTGAAATGCTTATTTATGTCGAATTTTTCCGGGTATCAAGTGTTTTACATGTAAGTGATATAACTACGCTCATTGGTGACCTGCAGAACAGTTTGAACATGGAGTGTGAGATTTGGATTTGCTCTTCCACAGCTTCGCTGACAAAGGAAAACACAGAGTTGGTTCATCTCACTCGCTTTGTCTTTATTTCCCCACGACTGGTAACTCATCTGGGAACAGGTCATTCATTTGGGGATATCAACGTTCAGTTCCTGGCTGATGACGACAGTCTTTGCTTAAGGAATGTCATGGAAATACAGAAGTGCTGTCACTTGGAATGAATTGTCAAAGAATTAGCTCGGTGCAGAGCTGGAGTTCCTTCACTTCACAACCCAAACCAGTTTCACTCACAAAAATGAAAGGCAGGGATTGAGACGGGAGAGCAGGACTGTTGCCGTTTGTATTGTTGATAGCTTAATTTTAGCTCTGAGAAGTGGAAATAGGTTTCTTAGCAGGCAAAATGTACCACGTGCTTCATCACGATGAGAGCAAATGTTGGTTGGTAGCTCCTTGTGTGTATCAGAAAGGTCACACACGTTACGGTGATGTTTTACAAAAGGCACCTGGGTCCCTGTGCAAGTCCAAGAGATGCGTGATCAATGTGGGGAGCCGTGACAAGAAGCTGATCAGTACCACTGAACACGAGGCAGTAAAACAGGAGATAAAGACCAGCAATCTGGATGATGTCTATCATTTCTAGTAATGTCTTTTCATGTCAGCTTTTATTCCATGCCATTGATTTATTCTGACTGGGTTGGTCTATAAGAAAGCATGTACTTTGGAGTAAGGGCATTGCAAGAAACATTATGTGACAGAGACTAATTTGAATTTAAAAATTATACTTGTAATCTCCCCACATTTAGGAAGTTTCAGGCACACATCTGAACTTTCTGTTTAGGCAGGCACTGGTTCTAATCAAGCCTTGAGCTGAGAAACCTGATCTCCAGACCACAACTTTGTAGCTTGTTCCAATCCCTGAAACTAATAGGAAATATTTCTACTCAATCCAGTGTCTTACGCAGTTTCCCAAACAGGTCAGCTAAATTCTTCTATTGAGTCACATTTTGAAAATGTGTTTAGTGTTTGTCCCTGAGCATTAGTGCTGCTTAATGCCTCTGCAGCCTTGCTCTCCAGCTAAACCGTACTTGGAGGTATCAAAGGTAATGATATTTTTATAGCCAATTTTAAAGCTTCTGCAAATGATGAAAGGCCTTTCTACTTAAAAGACGACCCTGGATTATTAAAAGAAGATCCTTGGATTATTTGTTATAGGAAAAAGCAGAGAAAGTGGATTTTATTTATTTTTTTTGTATTTGCAGCAAACACTGGGAGTGCAAAAAAGTGACAGGGGAAATGTATTCCTATCTATTTGTAGTCCTACGGAGAAAAAAAGAGAACAGCTAATGTGCCACATGCCAAGGGGATAGGACATGAATAGAGGCCAAGAGGAAACCTGTTGTGAAAAAAGGAGCTTCTTGATACCAAACTATTCACAAATCTGGATCAAATTTTGCATAATTGTTTTGACTGAAAAGATGGGAACACTGAATTTAAAAATATTTGTGCCAGTATTTTTAGAGGGAATTTCAAAATAGCACTGTTTGTTTAAAAAGTAACATAAATCAAAAGAAGGCAGCTAAGCAAATGTTAAATAATACTAAAATGTCAGAAAATATTGAACTATGCAATGATTGAAATATCTTAGTCAAAGCAGAATAAACTTTCTCAAAAATATTTCCTGTTCAGGGAAAAAAAATAATTATTTAACCCCATTCTCCTCCATCATCTCTCCCTACCTCCAAGACCTCTACCAAATTTTTAGATTCACAACAGGCCTAAAACTAATCTACTTTTTCCAGCTGTAAATAGGACAGATACACATCCTGGTGGTACTAAACTATCGAAGAACACCTAAACGGGAAGCATGAATTTACAGCGTACGTAACAGAAGCTATATTTCATTCCTAATTGATTTTAAATAGCAGCCTGCACCTGAATTGCCATCTGTCTAGCCAGTAGCTAGAATTCCACTACCCCAGATCATAAGCTACAATCTGAATTGGAAGCCAAAATACATAAATCTAGCCTTCTACCATCAGTATTTGAAATCTAAATAGTGTTTTGAAATCATGGCAATTAACAGCAGCGAAAGGCAGTTTCTGGTTGGGAAAGGAGAGGATGGCTTGAACTGGGACTGATCGTTAATCTCTGGGAGATGTCAGGTCTCACGGGCATTATTCTCACTCTGTTTTCAAAAAAAAAGAGGAAAAGGGTTTATATTTTATGGGTCCTTCTCCTTCCTACAGTATGTGAGGTTTCCTAGAGCAGATGGCTATAATTTGTGTTATCTCAGTGCTTTATCCAGTTTATAGCCTTAGCCTAAAGAGAGTTCTCCGTCAACTAAAGGCCTCCTTTCCTCCCTGTTTCAATCCTGGAGCAATACCGGAGCTCTTAAACAAGGTGGGATGCCTGTGTGAGTTAGTGGAGCAGCTCCTGAAGTGAAGATGCCACTTGTGGCAGCTACTTGCAGGGCTAAGCTGCTACAGTTTTGACGTGAGAGCTTAACCATGAGGTTAGAGCTGCACTGTGGCCATCAGAGGAAAGTGACCCTGGAATGAAAGGACAAGGCA